TACACCCACAGCCCGAGGTACTTGTACTTGTTGACCACCTCCACCTCCTCCCCCTCTATTTGTCCAAGCCAACAAATCTGATAAGCTCTCATTAAACGGCAGCGAGGAGACTTTGGCGCCGACACAAAGACGGGAGGCCGAGCTGGAGGTGGCAGAGTTGAGGATCACCAGGAGGGGCTGGATTATAAGCGAGTTCATCGGAGGGACGGCTCAGGCTGAGCAGCTAGAGAGGCGACGCTGAGACAGTTTGGATATGCACAGAGGAGGCGCAGTGGTGGCTGAAAAGATTACGACCTCGGAGTTGGTTCATGGACGTAATGAAGGAGGCACTAACAGTGCAAACAGGAAATAAGCTACAAAAACTGACTGACTGAGCTTAAACTTGATTTCAAAGCTCACACCTGTAAGCTGTGGAGGTGCAGCGCTCTGGTGAAGATGAAAACAGTGCGTTTATTTACAGTGCCCCAAGAATCCAACAAACTTCCGGGTTGGAGGCCGCTCGAGCCACGTCTTAACTGGAAACTTCCGTAAACAAAGCCCCACAGGCAGGGGAGAGGAAAAAGGGAGAATGCATGCATACAAAACTAGGTTGTCCGAGGAGGACCGGCCGACCAAGACATCAGAGCTCTGAGGTCATCTGCCCGGATGCTCTGATGGCGAGGGGATGAAGCTTTTGACTGCACTTTATTCTGCTTTTACTTTTATTTATCGTTTTTATTTGATTTTTCTGGATCCTTAGTGACGTTTTTCTCGGGGTTAGATACAGTTTTAAGACCGACTGACCCAAGTGCTCTACATTAAATGTGCCGTATGAATAATCATGAACCCGACCTCGATCGGGTGTTTCAAGCTCGTCACGTTTCCTACCAAACAAGTCGATGCTGCATTCATGGAACCCGAAGCAGAAACATCTAAATGTTGTGGCTGAAGAGAAAGAATAGTGTTTTCAGCAGGAGTTGAACCCTCAACCTCAAAGCTAAAAGCCACAGAGCTGACTGACTGAGCCATGCAGCGCTGACAAACAGCTGCTTCTGTACGAGATGATGAATGCAGTTGATAGATCTCTCACAGTTCTGCAGATCAGGAGTTCACCGCGAGGCTTTGCTCAGCGTTTACTGGAACTGAAATCGAAACAGTTTTGGCTGCAGTAAGATGCTCATTGATCATCTGAAGGCTGCAGGAATTAGCAGAGTGCATGACCTCTGGGTGTTCAAGCTCTCAGCTCATTGCGTCGCTTTTTCTGAACGGCAGGAAACTGGTCGTGGTGGAGTGTGGGCACACTGATAAAAGGTTGTCAACAGATCCATAGCTTCAGAAACGGCTTTGAAGGTGTGGCAAACAATGAGGTTTAGGACATGTGACATGCGTGTTTTTCCACCTATCGCTGCTTCAACGTCGTTTTGAGCTCTTCAGGCCTTTCGTGTTCTCAGAAGAACTTCAAATGTTTTTCGAATCATCTCTGAATCACAGTCATGCAGCTTGGTGTTTCCTTCTGGGCGAACATTACAAACACATACAGCAGGTCGTTCACCCACCTTGACATCATCGGACATTACAGCATACACCTTTTACCTCTTGAATAATTTGTGCTGTGATCTTTGTCCAACATCATCTGATTGGTTCACTGAGAGGTAAGCAGTCTTGGTAGAAGTTGTACATCACGCAGGAAAGCATAACGTTTTTAAGCAGGAACGTGACCTTGGTTTCGCCTTTCGTTTCATTTTGACCATTAAAAGGAAGTAAGAAGAAAGCCAGTGCCTGAAAGTTTTATTATTCGCTGCTCTCAGTCACACTGCACTTTGTAGCTCCTCAGCTGCATCGAGGACATGTCTACGCTCCGTACATCCATCTCATTAAAGTCAGTTTATTTTTATGGCAAAATTAAACTCAGATTTAGACTAAAGTGCTGCACAGGAAGCAAAAGTATCAAAGAAACATCCATCCCTGTCAGGGTTGCGATACCAGCTGTCTTAGGGTGAGAGGCGGGGCACACCTTGGACAGGTCACCAGTCTGCTGCAGGGCTAACGCATAGAGACAGATTCACATTCACACCTATGGGCAATCCTGACCCCACTAACTGCATGTTAGTGTTCTCACCCCAACCAATCACAGCAGATGGCCCCGCCCCTCCCTGA